TATATACATATATATACACATACATATATATATATATATACATATATATACACATACATATATATATATACATACATATATATACACATACATATATATATATATATACATATATATATACACATACATATATATATATATATATATATACATATATATATACACATACATATATATATATATATACATATATATATACACATACATATATACATACATATACATATATATATACATATATATATACACATACATATATATATATATATATATACATATATATATACACATACATATACACATACATATATATATATACACATACATATATATACATATATATATACACATACATATATATATATACATATATATATACACACATATATATATATACATACATATACACATACATATTATATATACATACATATACACATACATATACACATACATATTATATATACATATATATATTTTATATATACACATATATATTACATATACACATATATATTACATATACACATATATATATTATATATTTTTCTGATTGATAATATACTGACATGACATTTATCAAAATTACACTGTCCTAATAAAGACTGTGAAAATATACCAATTAAAATGGAATAAGGCAACCAGAGCCTGATAAAACAGAATTCGGCAAACTAAATGGATGATACTACATTTTACACAGAGTATTAAAATAGACTATAATTACCCAGGATCCACTTTAAAATAGCTAATTTATTAACTTGTGAAATTATTTTCACATCAGTCATTCAGGGGTCATATCTATAAAAACTGATAAATATACCTAAACTGTCACTTACATTAGTGTAAGCAATAAACAGTAACAGCAGTATGCACATTCCAATATTAGTTTGTTTTTCATGACATAATGTGAAAACATAAAATACTAACAACTTAAATTAGTATTTATATAATATTTCACAGGTCCTGTTTGCTTAAAATGGTAGACTGACTTCAATCAACATGAACCAGTACTACTAGTAGAAATATGTGAATTTCTTTAAGAATGGCTCTTTTGGGTGTTGTAAAATATAAATAAAGCCAAGAAAGCCTATAGGCTATGCATCATCTGTATCCTTCCTAGTGTCGCCTAGCAAACCAGCTTCTTCAGTGGTTTTGCGAATTCATAAATTCTGTATCAATTATAATGTGAATAACGTGATAATGTGCTACAAAACTATTCTGGGAAAAGTAATTCAGTGTGTTTCCCTGCAACACTGTGCTGCCTTTTCACACCTGGCACTTTAGATTCCTGAAGTCAGTTGAGAAAACATCCTACGAGTCAATGTGCTGTCTGCACTGTAAGGTCCTGCTGTCCCTTCTAAAGGTGGCTAATTTTAACACTACAAGTAAACCTCTCGCTAATGAATAGCAAGTACACAGGGTCAGAAAACCAAAGAGCAGATTATTTACAGCTAAAGGGAAATGGCAAGGCCAGTCAAATGTGATGCAGAACCCGCAAACAAAGCATGAAAGTGACAGCTGCTACAGGTTATATAGCGTTCGTTCCTGAAACAATTCAAATTAGCATCATGGTTGAGTGTTTCATTTGACTGCTGGACAAAAGTATATTTATTTTTTCCCCATCTATCACACTGCAGCGTCAGCATCTGTCAGCAGCGTGAAGAGACGACACCAGAATTATTTAAATTCAAAAATGCTACCTCTACTGTCTTAGCCTTGGTCCCTCCGTAACCATGCAGACACTAGTAAAAATATATTATGTGTGTGTGTATGTGTGGCAGAGAGTTTCACAACAGCTGAGCAGTGCTTCTATAACCAGTTTGGTAACATTTTCTGTTCCAAAAATTTCAGCAAGCATACTTAAACAGGCAATTCAATCTATTTCCTTCTGTCCCTTTCTGCTTCGATCCATCCATAATAATAAAAACACACTCAGTATCATAATAATCCAACACTGTGACTTTATGTTGTGCATTACAATCAGTATATTAAATACATGAGTGACTGGTTTACAGCTTATAATATTTTTTAAAATGTTTCTGTTTGTATTACATTTTCATATCACAGATTGTGGTTAGTATTTTGTTAAAGTAATTATTGACTATAATACATAATATATAACATTTCCGGTATGTAACACCAAGGGCTGACTGGCAACAAATAAATAGCAGCCTGGGTAACTGGTGCTGACCCGGGGTGGGGGGGCTTGATATATTCAGTCATCGCGATCAACTGATCATCTCCCGTGATCGACCTGAAAACACGGAGATCGGCCGACACTGTGGGCACTTCTGGCACAGGCTGGTCAGCTATAGAACACCAGGCCAAACTTCCTGAAGCCAGTCCGCACCAGTGTAGGACGCATCTATCTATCTTCCAACCACTATTCCTGGTCAGGGTCACTGGTGGAACACTAGATTATCCCAGGCAGTATAGGGCACAAGATTCCAGCCCATCACAGGGTCCATGAAGCCACTCAGAGACACCATCACACACTATGCTAACTGAGAAACATCTATAGGCTTAACTGCCCATCTTTTGGGAAGAAATCCAACCTAGAGGCGAGAACACAAACACCCCCATGCACGCATGCAGACACACATACGCATGCATGCACGTACATATGCACGCATGCACACAAACGCACGCGTGCATGCACGCACATACGCATGCACACACGCGGACACACACAAGCTGCACACACCCATGCACACAGTGTAGAAGGTGTGAGGTAATGGCATTAACCACTGAGCCATCATGCCACCCAGCTGATAACCACTTAAGCTATTTTCTGACAGACGATAGCGATGGCATGTGGTCAAAGCTGTGATGGCCAGCACTAAAAACACCATTAAGCTTAACCAGGAATGCCATCACATACCAGTACTCCCTCAGCTGGGAGCACGCAGCACTGATGCTGAGTGGAAATGGGCAGATGGTGTGATGCCAACGCGACCTTCCTTTGTTCTTCCACCTACTACGCCAATACCGCACCTGTGACTTCACAGCGGCCTTACGGGGCAGTGCGGCAAACTTTAAGGATCGATACGAAATAAGAGCTGGACAATTCCAGCTGGACAAAAACAGGCTATCAGGAAGCAACAGAGGAAAACATTTTCAGAATTTAACAAAGAGCATATCTAAGTATACCGCCATGCTTTGCTAACGAGAATCTCGGAGGAGGCGGTGAAAAGTCACGCAAGTTAAAGGATTTTATACCGAAGAAGACATGAGGAATAAAGGAATAAAATGTTGGGGTCTTGTTGAAAAGGACTTAAATGTGGCAGGGAAAAAAGCACAGGGTATGATTCATTAAACAGCACACCAAGGTACAGCATGAGGTAAAACTCTCCATTATAGGGAAAATGAACATATCTGGCAATACTACGATCATTTCTAACAACTGAAACAAAAATAAGTATGGCAATTCAAACAATATTATGCATTTTTGTGCTGATGTGTTATTTAACCATCTGGAGTCTGAGGCGTGCCAGCCACCTTTGGCTGAATGCGAGGGCAGAAACACAGAAAAGCCTTTAACTTATCAGCAACAGCGTCTGGCCCAGTCACCTGATCTGTGTCATTTTGGCTTCTAAGCTTCAGCCTCCTATATGCTCGATGTCTTGCTGGGTTTCTTTCTGTCAATTTACCACAATACATTTGTGATCAAATCTGACAATACAATCATTGCCTTCTGTTACTCATTAACCTCACTGTGAATCTGTCAGTCTTATTCCTGCAGTCCGCAGTAATGACTGGAGATAGGAGGCTGTGAACCCATATACATTATATAATGCAGAACTCTGACAAAGGAGGAGCTAGAGGGCCATTAAGGACAGTAAAGGGCCATGAAATGAGACTAAACTGCATCGTATTGCATTCCTGATCTAAAAAAACAGGGTGCAAAAGCGATTAAAACGCATTTTCTGCACAGATCCGGGTAGCTGGCAGATCCACCTACCTTTAAAAGCAAAAAACAGCCCTTCAAATTAGTTTATGCAAATGAAGAGGAACCTGTCACAAATGAAAATGAAGCTAAAAAAAATGAAACTGATTAAAACCCAAAAGCTCCAGGTAATCTCAATGCTGATGATGTACAGTATCAATGAGAACTCTTATGTTCTAAATATTGGTAAATAAAATAGCTTGATATCTATCCATAACTGAATAAATTTAATGTACAATTTAGTCCAAAACCAGGCCATTCTTTCATGTCTTAGGCAGAGAGCTTGAAGACACAGGTGTGCAATGTTCAGCCAAGTTACAACATTCCCTATTTTTGGAGGCACTCATTTGCGGATTTAACAAAAAAAAAAAAATCTGTGTTACTATTTTCAACAGCTGGAAGATGAAAGCTGATTCCCGTATCCCTCTGAATAAAGACAGAAATGACAGGCTCATCGGATGGAAGAGCAAGGAACGCACAAATACAAACACACACAGACGACACTGATACGACGTGTTCCTATGGCCCTGCTAAGACATGCAGCTGAGGAAATTTCAGGATGCAGCGTCTCACCTTAGCCCCTCCCACGAAGGCAGACATCTTGGTGGCCTCAGCGTAGGAGTCATACACGTGTGGGTAGCGGACGTGCTGGTACTCTCGCTCACGGCCAAGCACGGGCGAGCGGCAGGCTGAAAGGAGGGCCTGTTCCCTGGAGAGCCAGTGACAGGAGCATATCAGGACTGACGGCCTCCATCAAGCCGGACACACTGCACAACACTGACACTGGAATGACGACCAATGCTGACATGGGAACGATGACTGACGCAGAAATGATGACTGACACGGAAAAGACAACCAACACTGATGACCACTCGACATGGTCAGTTCCACCAGTGACACACAGGATCTACTGGAACACACAGGATCCCCAGATACATCAGATCATTGAAACAAAATCAATGATGGCACTATGACGACTGACACCACTGGAATTCCAGCAGCATGCCTGCAATTAAAAATGACACGAGAACACCCATAATATAGAGTTAATACTGACACCAGGGATCGTTACAGAGACAGACCCATAAAGGACACAAATAACAATGGCAGACAACAGAAAGCGAATACAAAACTCAGGGAGTCGCCGAAAGTCCTACAACTCTGTGAGTCATAAAAGCACAGTTAACAGCCCTCTAAACAGCAATAAAAAGCTTCTAAGTGAATTAGCATCAGACTCACTGAAAGTTCACATTATAAATTCGTAACAACACAAGGACGGGTTTAAGGAGTTTATTTGACCCACTTATCCTCATTCCTCACTTCCGGTTTCATAATGGACAGGTCGAGAGGTTCCATGGGATGGGCCAGGGGCTCTGCTTTGCAAGAGGTATATATATTGTGCAGCTCATCACCACATGCGTTTGCTAGAGCCTCCAACAAAATTAAACGGCCACTATGGGTTTTTTTTTTTTTTACGGAATCCTTGAGAGAATTGTGAACTACCTGCAGTTACATAAGAGGTGGTAATGTATCAGTGCCACAAGCACAAAGGTGTCCATTCTCAGCCTATGGCTACATCCTGTCCTGGGCAGTGGGGGGGGGCTGGAATTCCTCAGGGAGAGGGAACTACAGAAAAGTAAAAACAGGATACTGGTAATGAAACCGGCACTGGCCACCCCATACGCAGAGACATCATTAATCCAGAGTGACTCTGCTCACCCCCAAGCACAGGAGAGTTATTTTGGCCAATTGTGAGTAATGAATGAGGGCGTGAGGCACAGAGCGATATCCTAAGAGGACCTCCATGAATATTTCAGTCTCAGGAGTCGACGAGTGAAGCATAGCAGGCAAGTGCTCCATGATCACCTGGGGAGCCTCTCTCTTACAAGCAATCCCCAGCGGCCTGGCTGCCAGGAGATGTGGGGGGGGGGGGGCAGCTGTAGGCTGGGAGCCCCAAGTATGCTCTTCTCGCTTCCCTCTGCACACTCAGCTTACCTCTCCTTAATCTCCTCCCGCTGAACACATAGATTTGGGCAAGAAGATTTTAATTAAACAGATCACTGCGCTTTTTTTTCCCTGTGAAATGAAACTCTCTCACAGTAAATCCCAAACTTAAAACAAAAAGACGTGAAAACATGACTGCAATACACCCGCTTCAGTACGCTAACCTGACTTTCCTTTTCACAGGGGGCTACAGTGGGATGAAGTATGCAGGAGAGGGAACGCAGAACACAAACGGAAGACATGATCAGAGAGAGAGAGAGAGAGAGAAGCAGCAAGAGAGAGCAAGACAGTGGCAGTGAAAGAGAGAGTGAGAGAGAGCGGCAGAGAGAGCCAGAGAGACAGCAGCAGCGAGAGAGCAGCAGTGAGAGAGAGCAAAAGAGCAGAAGTGAGAGAGAGAGAGAGCAGCAGAGAGAGAGCCAGAGAGACAGCAGCAGCGAGAGAGCAGCAGTGAGAGAGAGCAAAAGAGCAGAAGTGAGAGAGAGAGAGAGAGAGAGAGAGAGAGAGAGAGCAGCAGAGAGAGAATCTTGGTGGGAGGTACCTCTGCAACCGTAGCTCCTTGGGGTCAAAGTGGAAGGAGGCGTCGGAGCTGCAGGCATCACCCTCCTCAGCACGTCTCTCCCGCTTTCGCTCGCGTTTCTCCTCCCGCCGGAAGAGCTTCAACATCTGCTTCTCCTGCTCCGACTGGATGGTCACCTGGCACCCGTAGGCCGGCTTGCTGCCCTCAGTACCCCCCCTACGAACCGCATCTGTGAGCCGAAACCAGACAATCACGCATCACACCCGCGTAAGTGCATGATCATCAAATGCCATTTCCAACACGGTCAGCCCATGATTCCCTGGTCCAGTGAAGATCCAGTGAGGGTCCAGTGCAGGTCCTTTGACATGTACAAACAAATCTATGCACAGCAATTTACAAAGGTTACTTTCAGATGCTCCTATCATTAAATGTTACAGGTATGTATATCATTATCACTGTTATAACTACCTTCAGTAAAAACACAGAATTATGCCATTACACTAGTGCTAGCAAGACTGATTATTGTAATTAACATAACTAATATCACACGTTTAATTCAATATTATGTCCAGCGTTATGCTAATAATAAAAATAATTGCAGCAAGAAAGGCATCAATTAAAGTTGCTGTTAAAATTTTGATAAAGCTCAAGGACTGCAGAAGTTACTCCAGCACTCAAACACAACACCCTTTTGGCACTTTTGGGCTTTTGTCTGGATGAGTTGGGGGGAGCCAACATTACCTAGAACACCCCCCATACTCATAGCTTATATGGGAGGAAGCTTTGCTATTAAGCGAAAAAAAAAAAAGATCATAAATCTCTCAAACCCCAGATTATGTCTCTCATTTTAAGAGAGCACTGCGATGTCAAGACGCACAGTAGGACGTCAATGACGCAAATGGCACGACGCTGGATTAAGATGTCGGTATAGACAGCGTCAGGCGGGAAAAGCGCACGCCGAGTTCACCATTAGGCCCGAGTTCACCGTGAACACTTCCGCAGAAAAGCAGCAGCGTTCAGCTCTCAGCATCCACCTCCGCCGTGTAATTAAGTGACACGTCACTGCCGTGGCAGGAGAGGTCGTGTTTAACAACCAAGCCCCCCCCCAGCGAACCTCCATTATGGCCCTGGGCTCTATGCCTGTCGATAACTTCTCCTTCCTAAGACTGTGAGCCTTTGTCTTCAAGGGCAACAATCTCTCTTCTCTGCTACAGCTTGACGGGTTGCCGGGCTACACAGAGCTGGGGGTGGTGAGCAAGCCGGCTTGGTGTTTAGACCTTAAACCTGGAAATAAAACGAACGAGAGCCACAGAACCGCTAGAAATGAATGACGGCCTGGGCTGCCTGGCACACGGGAGGCTACCCCCCCCACCCAGCGCTGCAAGGCGGCTCGCATGTCTGAAGCTCAACAGCTCAATACGCGGCAGGGCGGCTCAGGGAAGCTGACGAGATGCGAGGACTGCAGAGAGGCCTCCCCCCCCCCCACACCCCCCCCCTCAAAACCACCAAATACATATCACATAC